GATGAATTTTAATTTTTTTTAATGATTTTTTTTATTTTAAACATATATATTTTATGCCAGTAAATTTTGATGTCAAATGAAATAAAGGAAAAGTCGTACATTTGTATTTAAAGTTTCTTTCTATCTTTAATTATTAAACCTATAAGTGGATGTCAAAAAAAAAAAAAAAACCTGTACCTACATTCCGCGACGTACTAATAACCCACCTTGTATATTAAATAAATTTATCGTCATCATCAAATATTAAAAAAATTATATTACAAGCTGTTTAAAATATTATTACGAATTTTGTTTATTTGGAAATATATTTTCTGCAGTATTTCAATACCAAAAAATGAAAATAGTAGGTAGCTAATTAACGAAATTATGATTAAATAACTTAATTGTAACACCACTGCAGAATATCATATGATGCATACATAGATATCCGTTGATTCTTTAAAAACATTTTTATCAATACCTACATCATACATTGAAGTAAATACAGTAACGCAAAAAACAGATATTGATAAAAAAGTGTACAAAAGAAATCTGTAAGTACGCCTGGCAACATCCAAAGTCTTTTTTATATGTTGCTAGGATACTTTTAGGTATGCGGGCCGCTGTATTGGATTCTTCCTAAAATTCTGCTGGTGGTGTACTCTACCGGCAATTCGGAAATTTAAAACTGCTGGCCTATTCCAGGAGCGGTCTGTGGCGATAGCTATTTTGTCTGTGATGATACTTACTGTTAATTTTAATACATTTTTCTCAAAAATCCTAAATTGTACGGCCAAAGTGAAATTTATTTAGCAGCAGAGCAGTAGAGTTGTTTCAAAATCTTATGAGCTTTGACCCTGATATGCGCAGAAACATAATTCCGGCCGTCGCCTAAATTATTATACGTCCTAAAAACATTACATCCATTATTCACAGTCTATCTCGAGCTCTCGTAGCGTAAACCAGCCGTTGCTCCGATTACAAATATCATAATAAAATGCTCTATTCTTTATTATTTTAATTTAAGCAAAAAAAAAATATATAATGAACGTTCGCTAGTTATGTGGATACGCCACGCCTATCACGCATTTCGCGGCTCATGAGATTTCGAAACTACTCTAGCATAAGTTTTGTCGAAACAGCGAAACAAGAAAATTGGATATTGAGCACATCTGTCTTATTTACAAAAAGACAGCACTAATGAAAAAAACTTAACAAGTTTATAATAAAAAGATTTTACGAATTTTGAGTAGGTAAATGCACAAAAACTTTATTTTTCGTAAACTTCAACTCTATATCTCAAAAAGGAATAACTTCGTGATACACATGCTGTATAAAATTGTTCAAATTAGATTAGTTATTCTATAGAGGAGGTCCTGGAATCTAGAATTCTAGAGAGGGTAGCTTAAAAAGCTATAGCACTTAGGCCCCATTGGGCCCCTTGTTCTTCCTCCCATTTGGAGATCAATCTATCTGAGCCGTTAACCAACCTATTACAGAGAAAAGGGTGGTGCCATTGTTCAGGGGATCTCTCTATAATAGACCTTAGAAGGTCAACGTTCTCCCACATGGATTCTCTTGTTGACGAGACGGCATTCGCTTAGCACATGTAGTACTGCCTCGTCTTCCTGTTCACAACCCCTACAAAGAGGAATTTCACACTTCCTTATGTTGTAAAGGTGTTTTCTTAGCCAACAGTGTCCAGTTTGAATACCTGTCACTAGGCGAAGATTTGACCTAGACATGGTCAGGTATTTTTTGGCTGTATCCTTGCTAGGGTATTCTATATAGAGGGTGTTAAAGAATAACGTAAAAATTTTACAGGATGAAATTCAGAACATTTGGCAATGAAGAACCTATAGCTGGAAATGTGAAATAAAGTTTCTACAGCACTATGTACTTTCTACGCATTCGGTGTGCTAAATGGAACACCAGAATCCTGGCATTCCCACGATTTTCACCATAACACAAACACATATCAGCAAGCTCTCCAAATGTTTAAGTACCCTCCATGAAGTCAGAATTTATTTACCTATAGTGTGTAATGCACAATACTGTACACTGACTCAAGTTGACTAGCTGCGTGTTTACAGCACAGTGCCAGTGGATTGAAGAGGTGAACTGAAGGACGACAAACACTAAATAAACAACTTCCTATACATAGGCTCAGGTAGACTAGTGTAGTTGTGTGTTTACAGTCTTACATTCGCAGCAATAGCATAACGTCAATGGATGGAAGTGATAGGAGGTTACCTTCTACTGCTGAAAAAACTTTATTTCACATTTTCGGCTATAGGTTCTTTACTGCAACATGTTCCGAATTTCATCCTCTATAATCTCAAATTTTTAAAACGTCATTCTGTAATACCCTGTATTACATGACAATATAATCAGGATGATTGATGTAGGTGTTATTACATTTTTTTTATAATTCCACTAACGTCTGACCTGCATATAAACTGTCTTTGTAGATAATAATTAATCGAAACCATATTCCCATGAAATCTATACAAAAATCCAGTAGGCTAGGAAGTTCCGGTGAATTAATACGGATTATTTTAATACGCAATAATATTCGCATCTCAAAGGTCTTTTTATGATCATTACATTCGAAGAATATCATACCTAAGGAAGCAATACGTAACCTGAGTAACGTAAGGCATTTTTATACATCGTAAAGTATATCACATTAAAATAAAACATGTATATGTATAATTATCTCGATGAAAATTTATTTCCACATTTAAACGTTTAAATATTCGCTTCGTTAAAAGTGACCAATTACCACATAAGTATCTCGAGACTAGAATATATCTGTATATTAGTTGTGTAATTTGGTGTGTGACAGATGTAATGTTAAAATTAATTGACATAATGGAGCGCTTATTAGCTTAGAATATCATAAACTGACTACGAGCTTAATTATAATGGATAAGCCGGAGAACTCCAGTAACGTAAATTGCTTCAGTTTTTTCTAACAACTGTATTCAATTTATACACAGAAATCTGACTGAACTTATATATTTGGTTTACAATTTGTCAATTTTTAGGAAAATATTTTTTATAATTGACACTTTCCTCTTTGCCTAAATTGTTATTTTTGACAAATATAAAATTGCATGAATTTTTTTAATGTTATTATTCGTTCCAGACCAAATAAATGAAAGCAAATGTGTCGAAATACAGGGTGATTCACAAACGGTGACCAAAAATGACACCTCGTATTCTTTTTTGGTGAATTTTAAGGGAAGTCTTACGTATAAAGTTTTTATCTAGGACGCTTCGTTAAAAAGATCCAGGGTGTTAAACGTAAATAAAATGTTTTTAGTTTCGTTAAATAATTTAAAAACTAGTAAGTGAAGTAATTTAAAATTTTGCACATGTATGTATGTAAACATTGTTCAAAATTGCCATCGGCGGAGATACAGTGTCGGTAGCATATTTTATAATAAATATAAATAAAGTAGTACGCCACTGCTTTACGGTAACAATCACGATATTTTCGGATTCGTCTTTCAATTTTTTACCAATTACTACTCTTTTATATTTTTCGAAAAAAGACTGATTTTCGAATAAAACTTAAAAAACGAACTGAATGATGTGACAACAAAAAAATACCAACTTAAAAATTTTGTTTCCCTCACTTGAACCATTTTTACATTACGGCCTCCTTTTTGGTTATCAAAATTTGTAATAACGTTTCTTTTTTTGAAGTTGATTCGTTAGTTTAAATATATTTGTTTTTATCTTTTTTATGTAAGTAATCTTTATGTTCACCTATTTTAATATTTACAAATAAACAGGTTTCTGCAATATAAAGTTGCTGCTTTCTTATAAATTTTGATTATTATTATTCCGAACATAGGGAATACTTTACTAAGTGAAGTCCGTAATTTAGTGCTGCACATTTTTTACTTTTTACTTGTTTTTTTTTCTCAGTGTGACAAGACTCGAAGTATAGTCCGCGATAATTCAGCATACTGAAGAAGAAATTCAGCACTGATGAGATTTGTATTCGATCGAGAGTGCATTCTTCCTTATTATCGTTTTTGAAGCAGATTATGTCGACGATAGCGATGATGAAGTTGTTGATGACTGAACTTATAAATATAATACTGCTGTTTCCATGATTCACCGAATGTAAACAAATAAATGTAAAAATATATGTTGTTTTGAATTCTCTACTATTATTTTCTTACATTTGAATACAAACACCTGGCAACATTGTACCATTTCGCACTGTGACGTTATTGTAAACTTATTGCAAATAAGGTACTTATTATTGATTGAAATATTGCTTTTATAAGCTGTGAATCATGGTAAGCAGCAAGAACAGAGCGTTTTTAATACAATTTTTAACAAACAATCATTTTATTTTCTAGTTTGTGCTATTTGGTGTTAATAAATATGTAAACAATTAAAACATTTTTCAGTATATTTATACAGAGTGTTTCAGTTCGAGTGAATCAAACTTTAACCGCAAATAGAACTCAATAAATAATTCAAAATTGCCTTATAAAGCAAGGGCCTAAGTCCCACCGTTTTCACTGTACAGGCCCGTATTGTTCGGTTGTTAAAATCATATTATTTACGAAATATTTGGTATTGTAAATTGATTCATATTTGGTGTGGTGTTAAGATTTATACATGTGCACAATTTACAAATTTACAAATTTTTATAGGTCAGTGGCATAGGAATGGGTAGTAAAGTGGGATTTTTTACCCCAACTTCTACACCAATGACCTAATAATCATTTGGGAGTCATTTTTAGATTATGTGGACAATTCTACATAAAAAAGGTTTACTTCTTGAAAATCGGTATAATGTATCGTTTTACCTAACTTAACCTAACCTATTTTTTTTTTCTTGGAGGAGAAATACTTCATGTAGCTCCATCGCTTAGTGTCGATCGTGAATTTAGACTGCCGGTCTCTTACCGGCTACAACCCCTCCTTACCTATCTCTCATCCTGCGGCCCCGGAACCACCATTTCTGGCATAAGTCAGTGTCGCAGAAAGGCTCATCTATTCATATTCTTCTCTTCGCGCTCCTTGGTTCCCATTATACACTTTACGATGTTATTTGCAACTTCCCAATTTCGTCTCGACGACATCAGACACAACATGAAATTTTCTATAGTGATTCTTCCTCCCACTACAACTTCCAGCTCTCGCCTTTCATTTGCCCATCTTGGGCAATTAACTAGGGTGTGTTCCGCTGTATCTACTGCCTCACAGTAGAAACAGACTTCATCATTTTTCTTTTTTATCCTATGCAGGTAGGTTGAAAAGCATCCGTGGTTTGTGAGGAGCTGTGTAAGAAAATAGTTCGTGCTCCTGTGCCGGCATTTTACCCATATTCTCAGGTCCGATATGAGCCTTTTCGTCAATTGGGAGTTATCTAAATTATTTTCCCACATCTCTTGCCATTTATCGATAGTGAGGTTCCTGATCTCTTTTCTGGCTCTATCCGTGTAGCCATCAGCCCTGTCGTGTACCGTTTTCCTCTCCTCCATCAGCAGCGTTATGGGAGAGATACACATTATCACGCACCCCGCACGGATCAAAATCTTCCTCTGCGTGCTTATCAGCATTTGGGCGTATTTCTTGATGCGGACCACGCTTTGCCAAACCGGGGCCGCATACAGTATCACCGAATGCACCACTCCTACCAGCATTCTTCTCTTTTCCTCCCTAGGACATCCGATGTTGGGAAGGATCTTGTTTAGCGAGGCCACCCTCTCGTCCGCCTTTTTGCAGACGTACTTAACATGATCTGCGTAAGTTCCCTGCCAGTCGAGCATCACTCCCAGGTATTTTATAGCTTTTTTGGGTGAATTTACTCCCCTAATCATTTACATTTAGCCTTATATTCTTTGGACACTTCAAGAAAACAGCCTCCGATTTTTCTGGAGCGAGATCTAAATAGTGCTCCCGGAGCCACGTATCGATTTTACCTAATCTAACCTAACTAATATTTCAAATCTTTTAAATAGAATGATATTTCCTGATGACAGATAAGTCTACTATTGCTTAGCCATGGCAATCGTTTTGTACGGATACTGTAATGGACGCACAGCGCAGCTTTAAAATTAATATGTGGATGTAATTTTAAAAAAAAATAGGTATATCTGTTTGAAACAAATGGACCGTTAAATGAACAAAGATACCTATAATTGTTTCAGAATGGCACTAATGAATTTTTAGAGGAGGTTCCATTGAATATGCTATCCAACGCATTGTAGCGTAACAAAAAAATGAGCTCAGAGGAGGAATTCACCACATTACGAATGCAATAAATAATACACAAGAGATTATATTTAGAATTTACCAGTCGTTTCATCAATGTAAAGACATAATATTTAATATTGTTTTGAATTCTGTTATTATAATAATATTATTTTAAAATTTATTTCCTATCCTTAAGAAACTAAATATATTATCACAAGAACGATCTCCCAATCAACTGAGATTTTCAGTAAAATGATAAACTATACCGATTTTCAACAAGTATACCTTTTTTATGTATGTTTGTTTTTATGTTCACGGAATCTAAAAAATGAATCCCAAAGAATGAATCCAATTTACCTACTTATTAGGTCATTGGCGTAGAAGTTGGGATAAAAAAATCCATCTTTACTACCCACTCCTCCGCCATTGATCTACAAATACTTGTAAATTTTACAGTAAATTATGCACATGTATAAATGGTAACACCACACCAAATTTGAATCAATTTGTTGTAAGCATACCAAAGATTTCGTTAATAATATGATTTTAACAACCGTCCAATACGGCCCTGTACAGTGAAAACGGTGAGACTTAGACCCTTGCTTTATAAGGCAATTCTGAATTATTTATTGAGTTCTATTTGTGGTTAAAATTTGATTCACTCGAACTGAAACACCCTGTATATGTATTTCTGCCCCTGGAAGTATTTTATTCTACGAAGTTAATTGCTTAATTGACAGATTAACATCATTTTTTTAATTGAAGAAGCTGGTTGGGAAAGTCAGTTGCGTCCTTCTAAAAAAACAAAAACGACACTGCAAAAAATGTAAACTTTGAAAAACGTAAAATTACGGCACGAATCATTGGCAATTCTGTTACCTATGGTCCGTGCCTGAATATTACTGAGCTTATATAAATTTACAAAAAAGTTGTAAATTCACATTGTAATTTTAAATAGATCCATACATATTACTGTGTGGTTTTACATATATAATGTTACAATTTTAATAAGTACTAATTTAATTTTACCTTGTAAAACTGTAATTTTACTTTGTAAAATTGTAATTTTACATTGTAAAATATTAATGTTATCATGTAAAATTGTAATTCTACAACTTAAAATTGTAATTTTACATTGTAAAATATTAATGTTATCATGTAAAATTGTAATTCTACAACTTAAAATTGTAATTTTAATATGTAAAATTTTTGTTTTACACACTATTTTTACAATGGTGTTGTAAAACTATTTTGTGTTTTTTAGGTTCACACAGTAAAATTGTATTATTTAGGCCCGGTACTTTGAGTCTCGGTTAAAGCTGGATTAACTCATCAGACTGATTAGACTTTACATATACTGATTTATTTTATTAATAACAGTCTAATCGCTTGATTAGTTAATCAAACCTTAACCAAGACTCAAAGTACCGGGCCTTAGAGATATTTTTACACCTACATGTAGAAATGCAGTGTATTTTCACTAAATAATGCATATGGTGTAAGTTGAAAATTTTACGTAGATATAATTTAGAATAATGTAACATTTAAGTTTCATACTACAAAATTATAATACATACCTTATTTTTTACTTTTTCGTAAAGATGTCAAACTAACTTAAATCAATTCCCATCAATGTAATTTTATGCAAAAAAATTCAAAAGTGAGCTGTGCGCTGGCTAAACTTTTGTTATTAATTAACAGTTAATTAGTTTTAATACACACATTTCGTTAATAGGTATAAATTTATTAAATTCCAGTAGGATATGCTATTTAACTCCGTAGCGCTGGATTTAAGTAAAGTAAAGTAAAGTTTAAGTAAAGTAGTTCTGAAAGTTTTTGTTAAAATAATGTTTATTGTGGACAACTTTGACTGTCTGTTATCCGAAATTAAATTTAATCAAAAAGCAAAAAATATAATGTAATGTAACCTCCAAGTCAGCCGAGCTAACCCAAACATATTCGAATTGGACCTTTTAAAAAAGTTATTAAGTTAGTTTAAATATTAAGAATAAGTATATCATTAAGAATGGGCAATCTCTAAACAGGAGTTACTACTACACACCAAAATGTGTTCTGATTTACTGAAGTAAAAAGAGAGTAATACCCTGTACAGATAGCGGCAAATTCAGCATCAAATTCGTAATTCTCGTGCCAAAAAACATAAAATCACCAATTTTCGAGTTGATTCTGGTGAAAATTACAAAATTATTGAGACATTTAAAATTAAAATTCCAACTTTGTTGTTGGTCCAGTTTAGAGATTGCACATTCTCAATGAATGACCCTGTATATGAGTATCAAATCATTGGTTAAGAATTCTTAATATTGTTAAATTTTAAATAGCCACTTTTTGGTACACATTATCAAGTCAATAAAATCGTTAATTGTTAACAATTAAGACATTGCTTTTTTAATTAAGAGTTGCCTACAGTAATCCATATATTTTCGAGGAAAAGAACTTTTTTCGTATAACATAAACACGAATAAAACATAGTTTCATAACTCCTAGTCTAAACTACAAAATAAACTATTTATTTTATTGTAAAGGTATTACACTATAATCCTACAATTATGTACTAATGTTTAAGAGTAAATTTTGTAATTAGGAAAGTTATTTATAATAGAAGATAGAATAGAAAGATATAATTTCATTATATCTGGCATGTGTATTTGCGTAGATTATTGTTATTTTAGATAGCTTCTGATTCCATCCTTGTCTGTGGAATTATTTCTTTACCATACCTAGCATCCAGCTTATTATCAGTTATTATCAAAGAACTATTTCATACTATATGAATTGAATTAGCTTAATACCCTTAGAATGAAGAAAAAACTAATAATGAAATAGATGTAAGTAAAATATTGTGGAAGTAATTCAATGCTGGTCGAGGCAGAGTGGTTATTTCTCATCATATTATTAATATTTATACTTAATAATAATGTTATGATAAAATAAACTACTTCCACACATATTTATTAAAATTATAAATTAGTTTAAATAACTTACCTTTATCTTTTTTAAGAAATATCACTAATTATAAGTATAACGCACAATATACGCACAACTCACTACTACAACTCCACAGCGTGGTCTGTCTGACCAATTGCATCATTGCTAGTCTAGACGCGCTGTTGTTTCTACATTAAATCTTCTGTAAATATACTTAGCCTTTAATGTAAAATTACATAACCAAATGAAATATACATTTTTATTGTAAAATTTTTTAACTGTGGTAATAGCACGGTGTAAATTTACCGAAATTGAGATTATAAAGTAAAAACACATAACTTTCTTAGTAAAATATAAATATTTTTATTATTACGAAGAATATTTAATTTTACTTTACTTATTATGTAATACTGTAGTGTAAATTCACAAATGTATTGGATTTTTACCCCAATTTTTAAGAGTGGATGTGTTTTTGATGATTTTAGCTCAAGCACATTTTTCGTGTACAGAAGAAATAATAGAAGTCATACGTTGTAAACATCTAATCTCAAAAAATTTGCCATAAAATATCACTGGGATATCGTTAGCGACCTCAAGCAAATCGTTCCTCTTATCACGTAGGGCGTATAATCCAAGAAATGGATATACACATACGCCTCTACGTGATAATAGGGACGATATGGTTAAGAACTAACAACATTGACGTATAAACCACTATTAAAAATTTAATGAAGTAGAAGATGGAAAAGATATGGTTAAAATTTGATATAAAAAGTCACCTTTTTGTGGCCCTGCAACTGAAAAAAAAATTATTATTTCTGTAGCATATTCATATGCATGCACCATAGGATACGAATTAAGTAGAAAACTTTTTGAATTCAATAGAAACTGTAAGTAAGTTAAAGTTTACGTTTTATTGCTGAATGTAAGGATTTCATAAACAAGTCACTTAATAAGGAGTACATATAGGTATATGTGTACCGACCCGAGTTATACCAAAGACTTCCTTGCTTTATACATAAGAATAAATTAGTTTAGTTACTGAATAATTTAAAAAGCCAATAGCCAATTAAAAAACGAACGCAATTGCGGTATATCCCACGGTTGCCCGCTAATTGCAGCTGCTCACAATAACTCACGGTGATTTCGCTTTATAAAAACAGGAACCAGAACACAAAGATAAGCCATTAATACCAATTTTTCCATACAAACCAATGATCACATCATTACTAAACAATTTGTAAACTATAAGAGACAAAAACCAGACTTGCGTCCGTTAAAGCGCAGTTTAAGGTACAAAGCACGCGATTTAAATGGGGCACAAAATGTATCATAAGTTTTTATTGCCCCGGTAAACAATAGTGCACATAGCAGGGCCGAATTATAATATTTAATAGCGGAAAGCTGGTCCCAGATAGCGATTTGAGAGGCTGGGCACGCAACGAACCCGGCTGTTGGTATTCCGCGACCGTCTAGTGGTCTGAACTGCTCCCGCGACCCTCACGATCTGGATCCGAGTGTGCCTTGAATCGAGATCTGCATTATCTTGTTACCCCCTTCGTAATGACCTGAAAAGATATTTTTGCGATCGATATCTAAGATGTAAGTTTCTGAATGTTGTTTTTATATTAGAAAAAATCGAAGCAAAATATCTTTTATTTTTTAATATTATTTG